CGCCAGAGGTTCGGCCATTTTTAAAACGTGAATGCCACACAAAAGTTTGCGGACTCCCCAAATGTTTGCTTTAGCATTTCATAGGTTTCCTTAGCCGTTTTGGCGAGTCTTTGGCAACATTTGATGCACACGCCATTCCGAAATCGCAGGAGGGTCGGTGTAATGCACTACCAAAACGCCCGTAACTAAGAAACAAATGCTAATTCGATGATGCCGGCTGGCACACTGATTCACTATGAATGTAGGCCGCACCCCCTAGAGGCAGAAGTTAGTACTACATCCGGTTCGCCCGCTATTGACACAGTCTGGAAACTTTCCAATCGCACCTCGTATATCGCTGAATTTCCTACAAATTTCTACCAGACTATGCGACTGAACGTCTCGGAAGAAAGTTATTTTCAAACTCGCTGCCGTGAGAACCTGAAATCTCACCTAACAATGAATTCGTTAACAGTTTCCTCAAGCAGAGCTCCGAAACTTCGTTGGATGTTAAGCGAGTGATGCCCCTTTATCGTACACCACAAGGGAAACAGATTTCTTAAAATTTTGTACACTGCGTAATCTGTTATATTTGCCTATGTCTTCCCAGAAACCTGGTATTCTATTGTTATCAGTACTGTTTGATTTTTTGAATGTTTTGTCATAATTCCGAGAGGTTAAAAGTGGGAACAAAGCAAATGTTTGAGATGTACATGATTTAAGAGAGTCCTAAAGTTTCTCTCATCACGAACACTGTTTCTGAAATTGCACTGTTATTAATAGTGAATAGAATAGAATATAATGGAATTTATTTACATTCCATAGATCCTTCATAGATCTAAGCCAAAGATGTAGTAGTTATAACAGCTATTTACAGATTTTTGGAAATACAGTATTACAGCAAAATAATTATGATGAGAAATCACCACCATTTTTACTTACATGTGTGTAAATTCTTCTGCTGAGTAGGAGTGATACAGGAGATTCTCTTTTGACGCTGGCTTAAACATTTTTATATCGTGATTTAAACTTTTGATAGTAGGTGGAAGATTGTTGAATAACTTAATTCAAGTATAGTAAACTCCTTTTTGATATTTACTGAGGTTATAAATCGGCACATGAAGGTCGTATCTGTATCTGAATTTATTTGAAAATTTTCCATGTTATCCACTTTATTTATTTATTTAGTGTTCTGTGTGACGACAGGTCCATATGAACAGGATCCTTCCATCCTTTTCTCGGACTGGGACCTGTTCATATACGTTCTTGGCAGATGATCCAGAAGTGGTTTGCCATTGCCTGCTTCTGTGTGTGAATAGAGTAATTGTTGGGATGCCACGGAGAAAAACTCCGTGTTGCCTAGACCACCACAAGTTATAAATTCGAACCCGAGACCCCAGGATTACAAGGCCAGCGTTCTAACCGCTAGACCACCG